TAGCACATTTACCCCTCCCTGTCCTGTGCGAGGCACTCACGGCTGTTACTGGGATTTTAAGAGAATACAAGCTCATTCGTTGTATAAAATATCTTTTTAATGCTCCATTTATTTCCAGTTATTTATATAAATATACACATTGTATGGAAGGTGCTTGCCATTACCTGCAACCAGTGATAGAGACAGTTAGGGCCTTGCTCAGTGTCCACGCTCTCGATGTGGAAGTTGTCAGTGAAGTTGAGAGAGACAGTGAAGCCAGATTCTACAGAAATTATGTACTGACAGGACACAGCATGAGGTGGGGGGTTAGGGTATCCTGGACTGAACAGATGTCCCTCTGGCTCATCAAATATACCACCGCTGCAGGATACTGAACAATTGGAAAAGGAATTAATTATTTAGGATTACCAAACTTTTGCTTAGAGTTTGGTAATGGTATAATACTGTTAACTTTAGTCAAGAGATTTTTTTTACATCTTTTTGCTTTCTTTCTTCTGTTGATAGGTATATTTCTGAATGAATCACGGTGGCAGTTTTCCCTCTGCTTCCAGTCTGTATGCTAACATAAACTAACCACATCCTGGAGCTCATTCATTAGCTGCTTGACTACCAGGTAATCTGATTATATTCATACGAGTGTACAATGTGTCCTTATTACCTGACGCTTTTAAAGGTCCAATGCGTAACACTATAATTAATATATAATACAATTTTCATATGGATGTTTTAATCAGTGAATAATCATTTGAATATAGGAATAGCTGTGTTTTCATTACCTTAGAATGAGCCCTTTTTATCTACAGTTGCCGTGAGGTCCAGCATGTTGCATTTTTCTACAGTAGCCTAGAAGGGACAAACTAATCACTGGATCTAGATAGGGCCTTTCACGTTTTTCGCAAGATTTGTGGTCACCGTAGTTCCTCCAACACACTTCACAGCCCGTTCTCTTTCACAGGTCGTCAGATACAGGCCGGAGTGGTGTTCAGTTAGTTGCAATCTTTAACTTCACTGCTAGATTGCTGCCATGTTAGGCTAATGGTATTGTTGACTTTATTGATCTAATGTTCATGAATGTGATTTTAAAGTGGGGATTACTTCTAGTTCTTGTCACTGGTCAGATTATTTGAAAGCTCAAATCTAATTGTATAACCATTTGTCATAAATAGTCAGTTCCTTGAAGTGTCACTTACTGAAATAGAGGTTGTAGTCAGAAGTTAAAGTCACAGCTGTTTGACTGAGTTACTGTGTACATACAGGAAAAGCATGTATTTATTCAATACTCACACACACAGGTGCGCTGGTCTGAGCGAAGCTCGAAGCCGTGGTAACATGAGCAGAGGTATGAGCCGAGGGTGTTGAGGCAGATCTGAGAGCAGAGTGGACCTGATCCATCTGCGGGTTCTGGCGCAGAACACTCATCTATGTCTGATAATGAGAGACATTAAGTTAGTGGGAGATGGTTGAGTGTTAGAAGAGTGAAGTGCTAGAACCTAGTAGCTAGTACCTATTGCCTGATACTGAGCAGAGAAGCCCACGTTCTGGTGGCGCTCTGGGTTGCTGTCATCTGACTGGAAAACAAGGGTGAGTCTGTTGCCTG